TGTATAGGCTTCAACCTGTATATGTCCTCTATTTCTGAATATCAGCCCCTTTCCCGGAGTACCTTTCAAATATCTTAATATTCTGAAAATAGCTTCAAAGTGGGCTGCACCTGGTGCATGCATAAATTGGCTTATTACACTCACTGCAAAGGCTATATCTGGCCTTGTATGTGACAAATAAATTAGTCTTCCAGCCAATCGTTGATAACGTTCTTTATCTACTATTTCATCTTCAGCAACTGACTTTAGTTTCACATTGGGATCCATTGGTGTTTCTACTGCTTTAGACCCTGTCATCCCTGTTTCTGCAAGTAAATCGAGTATGTACTTGCGCTGGTTGAGAAAAATACCTTCTTTAGATCTTGCGAACTCCATCCCAAGAAAGTATTTTAACTTTCCAAGATCCTTGATATCGAACTCAGCCTCAAGTCTTCTCTTCAGATCACTAATTGCTTTGACGTCATCTCCTGTAATAATAATGTCATCAACATACACTATTAAGATAGCAATCTTACCTTCAGATGAGTGTTTAAAGAACATAGTGTGATCTGCTTGACTTTGGGTGAAACCGTGTCTCTTAACAACACTTCCAAATCTCTCAAACCAGGCCCTTGGCGATTGTTTCAATCCATATAGGGATTTTCTCAATCTGCATACTTTGTTTCTTCCAAGATTTTTTTCAAATCCAGGAGGTAAACTCATATATACTTCTTCATGTAATTCACCATTCAAGAAGGCATTTTTAACATCATATTGATATAGTGTCCAGTTGAAATTTACTGCAAGAGAAAGAAGAATTCTGATAGAATTGATCTTAGCAACTGGGGCAAAAGTCTCTTGGTAATCAATACCATGAGTTTGAGTAAATCCTTTTGCTACTAATCTCGCTTTGTATCTTTCCACACTTCCATCAGCCTTGCATTTCACTGTAAAGACCCACTTACACCCTACTGCCTTTTTATCTTGTGGTAGATTAGTGATACTCCAAGTGTTATTTTTGTTTAGAGCATCCATCTCTTCTTTCACTGCTAATTTCCAATTCGGATCACTTAATGCTTCCTGAATAGTTCTGGGCACAAACAAATTAGAAATCCTAGACACATATGCCTTATGGGTGTGTGATAGTTTGTCATATGACAAGTAATTAGACATAGGATGTTTAGTGCACATACGAGAACCTTTCCTCTCAGCAATTGGGACATCGAGGTCAGGAATATTTTTTCTCACAGAAATTGGAAGATTAATATCAGGAAAAGACAAATCAGATAAATCATTGGATGAGTAAGAAGGATTACCAGATGAAGAACTAGAAGACAGATTATCTGTAGGACCTTCACTTGGTAAATCAGATTGGATTTCTACTGGAGAGACAATAGGGTTTGCACCACCTTTGTGGAATTTTTTTCGAACATACACTTTAAGTTCAGGATTATCATCCTTAATCAGTGTTTCTCCCCCTGTTTCAGATTCTATTATCTTAGCATTTGGGTGATTTGTAGTCACAATATCATCTAGAGCAGGCAAAGTTTCCCAAAAATTATCTTCTTTATTATTACATTGACTCTCCCCCTGAAGAGAATTTTTAAAAAAAGGTTGATTTTCAACAAAGTGAACATCCATGCTTTCAAAAAATTTCTTTGTAACTGGGTTAAAACATTTGTATCCCTTTTTATTGGAAGCATAGCCAAGAAAAACACATTTTTCGGCTTTAGGATCCAACTTAGAACGAAAAACATTGGGGATGTAAACATAACAAAGACAACCAAAAATTTTAAGGGGAAGATCCGTAATAATACGAGATGTAGGAAAATTGTTTTGTAACACTTGTACAGGACTTTCATATTGTAACACCCGAGATGGCATTCGATTGATGAGGTGACAAGCAGTTAATAAAGCATTTCCCCAAAGATACTTAGGTACATTCATAGAAAACATAATAGCTCTAGTGACTTCGAGGAGATGTCTATTTTTTCTTTCAGCAATACCATTTTGCTGCGGAGTATCGCGACAAGTGGATTGATGAATTATCCCCTTAGTTACAAGGAATGTACTTAAATATTTGTTGAAATATTCAGTGCCATTGTCAGACCTTAGAATGCCAATCTTAGTTTGAAATTGATTGTTAATCATGTTAAAAAAATCTTGAAATCTTTGTTCAACTTCTGATTTTTTCTCCATGAGATAAACCCAACACAGCCGTGTATGATCATCAATAAATGTTACAAACCATTTTTTTCCAGACATAGTTTTAATTTTTGAAGGACCCCAAACATCACTGTGAATTAAATAAAAAGGTTTAGAAGCAGAATAGGCTTTTGATTTAAAAGACACACGATGATCTTTAGCTAAGTGACAAGCTTCACAATGAAATTGTGAGGAATTTATTTCTTTGGAAAAAATAGGAAACAAATGCTTAAGATATGAAAAACTAGGGTGACCTAATCTTTTATGCCATAACATAATTTGATCTGAAACAGGAGATGCGTTTGTACTGTTTGAACCGAAAAACGCTTTATTGCCAAACTGAATTCCATCAAGGTAGTACAATCCATTCATCTCTCTAGCAGTTCCAATCGTCTTCCCCGAGTTCTGGTCCTGAAAAACACAAGTAGAGGGACGAAAAAGAACAGAACAATTAGTGTCCTTAGACAATTTATGAACAGATAGAAGATTACAAGCGAATTTAGGAACATGTAAAACAGATTGCAAAGTGATTTGCTCTGAAATTTTTATGCTGCCTTTGCCTGCAATACTTGAATAACTACCATCAGCTATCCTAACTTTTTCAAAACCTGAACTAGGAAAATAGGTACTGAATAGATGAGAGCAATTAGTCATGTGTTCAGATGCCCCTGAATCTATTATCCAAGGGTTAGAGTGGTTGTGAGCAGATAGTGCCCAAGAATCCTTACCTGTTTGTGCCACAGTTCCAGTAGGGATATTAAGAGATGAATTGGACTTTAGAAACTTAAGAAGGTTATCCATTTGCTCCTTCGTACATGGAGACGAATCAGCCTCATTGGCCATAGGCATAGGACGATCACCAAACTTACCAGCCTTGCCATGATTTGGTCGCCCATGTAGTTTGTAGCAAGTTTCCCGAGTGTGGCGATTGCGCCCACAGTAATCGCAAAATAAATGAGTCTTGTCTCCACCTCGTTGATTATGAAGTGGTTTACGATTGACATGGGGAATTGCCAAGGCAGATCCTTCAACTGGTGGAGGGACAGCTGCTGTATTTTTTCCAAGCATCACTTGCCGACGACTCTCTTCGCGACGTACTTCTGAAAAGACTTCACCAATTGGAGGGATAGGATTTCTGCCTAGAATTCGGCCACGAACCTCATCAAAATCAACATTTAGACCCGCAAGGAACTTGAAAACACGACTAACATCCACCATCTTCTTGTAATGTTTGCTATCGGCAGGTGATTTCCACTCATACTTATTGAAAAGGTCCAAATCTTGCCAAATACGTTTGAGACAATTGAAGTATTTGGTGACTGAATCTTCACCTTGCCGAATTTCTCCCAATTTGAGAGTTAATTCGTAGATTTGGGATTGATTTTCCAAATCAGAGTACATTTGGGAGACACCTTCCCAAAGTTCTTTTGCAGTATCATAACAGAGATAATTTGCACCTATCTCTTCATCCATGGAGTTGACTAACCATGTCATGACCATGGAGTTTTCAGCATCCCATGTATCATAATCTGCACCTGCCTTGTCTGGTTGTTTTTTGTCGCCAGCAATGTAGCCAATCTTTCCTCTCCCCCTGAGATACATACGAACGGATTGCGACCATCGAAGATAATTAGCACCGTTCAGCCGAATTGTTGTGATCTGAACAGGGTGGTTTTCATGGTACGTTCGGACTAATTTAGGTTCGGGTGAGGAATGTTTGGGTGAAAGTGAGGACTCGGTATCAGACATTGTGGGATGTAAAAAAGATAAACAGAGCGGAAGCAAAAACAAAAAAAAACCCTAAAGGATTCTTGTTGCTACTGATACCATATAGAAATATGCTTTTTCTATATTGTTTATTCTGTAACATAGTACATGAGTATTTATAGAATATAAATTACACTAAGAAATAGGGGTAATTATTCTCCCTATAAATGCTAATCCTAAATAAGGTAAGAATATAATAATACAATTAATTTCTATTTAATCACAATTTGAATCCAGCCATAATGAGCTGTATGACAGAATCTGTTTTGATTTTGTGCTAATATTCAACATAGACTTTATTTAAAACTTATGTGGAACAATTTTTCTTCGTTTGTAATTATATATTATTCACAATTTATTTGGATTTGTATTTTGTACTATTTTGTCGTGCGTGATGACTACGTCAAAAGTTTGAATTTAAAGAATAAACTTATGAAATTATGATAATTTGAAATTTTATAGATAACATAATATTTTTTAAAGACAGAGTCATCCTGTTCGACTAATTTATTAAATATAAAATTTTTGTATAGAGACTGGTTTATTCGGCCAAATTATCAAGTTTAATTCAATTTAGTTGTGCACTTCAACCAGAGATCCAATAGTTCGTCTAATAAATCAACAATCTAATAACTTTATCGCTTTGATGATGGGTCCAATTTTTAATACATTGGGGGAGAAGTTAAGTTACAACAAAAATTAACAATAAATTAAAGAGTATCTTTAGAAAAAGATATGCAAATAAAATACTAGTTAATTTAATAAAATGACCTAATTTAATTACCTCCGATTAAGCCGGAAATATTTGCCTTCGGTAGCAAAATCAGAACATCATACCCCTCAATTCAGCGGCAAACTCATCGAATTGACGAAAACACCCTTTACTTCTTTTCCACTCCCAACTCAACCTTTCTCCTCTACCAGAGTCAAAGATCCTCTTTCTCTTTCTTACTTCTCACTGCACGCGAAAATTTTCTAGGCAATTGAACTCGCTTTCTATTTCTTCTCCACCATGCAACAATCTTAAACATAGAGTACAAAAATCATTAATGGATTTACTTGAAGGCATCGGAGAGAGTTCATCGCCACCGCGCTCCTTCGGCGGTTACAGCAACCACGATATCAGAACCGACGTTTACAACCGGTTGGTGGAAACCGGTCACGACGAAGCCGTATCGAATCCCGATTTTCGTGAACAGCTTGAAGCTCATTTCAATCGCTTGCCTCCAAGGTTCATCATCAATCTGATCGTTACTGTTCTCCGTTGTTAATTTCGTTTTCTCTCCGTTTTTGTTGTTGTTAATTTGAATTTGAACTGTTTTTTGATTGTTATGATTTGAATGCACTTGGCGCATCGTGTTTTTCGGTTTTTTTAGCTAAGATTTGAGTTGGTAGCAGATTTGGTCAATATTAAAAGGAGTAAGCAATTCAAGTGATGGTGGTGTGCACTTTTAAGCAATCTATTGGTGTTGTTTCAGTTATGGACTTGATGTTAATGTTGATAGAGCTGAAGATGTTTTAGTTCATCGGAAACTTCTTGATTTGGCAAGAGACCCCGATAAGCGCCCTGTTTATCATATACGCTTATTGGAGGTATTATAATTGCTTTTAATTAATTTGGTTCCAAATTTTGAATGAGTTCTAGAAATAGTAACTTCATTTTCTAGTACAACATGTGTTTAGTTGTTCATCATATGATACTGATTCGTATTTTTCTTTTTCTTTTTCTTTTTTACATTTTCATATTAATGTCTATAGCTATGAAGTAGTAACACTAGCACTAGCACATCAATGACACAGACACTGGTAACACTTAGAGTAAATGGAAGTGATTGATCATAACTACATGTGTTGATATTTTACCTGTGTGCTGTACTGAATTTTCTTCTCCTCTGTCAATTTGGTGGACAGAATATTTCAACCAGGACAGATGGCGAAGATCAAGTAACTGTAAGTACTCATACTAGCCCTGAAGATCAAGAAATTGTAAGTAATCATACTAGCCCTGAGTTATCTTCTCATACAACAAATGGGGGAGTCGTAGCATCTAATAAGAGGTATTTAGTGAAATGTGAATTGGAATCATATGATGAACTACTAAACATGTTGTACTTGAAAATGAAGTTACTATTTCTAGAACTTATTCAAAATTTGGAACCAAATTAATAAAATGCTGCTTAATTTGGTTCCAAATTTATATTTTCATTTTTCCAGGAAGGTTTCATGAATCTGTTCATGAAAATATAAATTTTATCTTTTTATAATCTATTATTCATATAGTTTATATCTTCAGGACAAGAGATCTTGCAACTGAGTTTGAGCCTTGCTCAAAGCTTGAGGACCTAAACTTGGATGTTATAAAGAACTCCAAGGAAACAAAAGAAAAATTTGTTAGTGACAGCTTTTCTCAGAGGTACCAATTGAATAAGATTGCGACGCCAATTCTTACTTTATCTTTCAATTTTTGAAGTAACTATCTTGTTACATTGATCAGAACGGGTATGGGTGCAATTGTTATTATTTTTATTGTTGTTGTTTTGATCGCAGTAGTTTAGCTCTATACTTGTTAACCATGTGTACACGGTGTCAAATATTTCTGTTTCTTGACAAAGATATAAATCTATTAGAATTGAAGTTACAACTGAAATTAGAAAGTCTAAACTTCTAAAAGTTTGTGCTAGGTGAGAAGATGAGAGAAAGACTGATAAAACCAAGAGAAATATATTCTGAGAATGATAGACAGAACTTTCTGAAAATTTTATTTCTTAAAGCGTGGAATGATACAGAAACTGGCACTCTGTATTTAAAGCGTGAAATGTTAGTACCTTATGTTTTTGAGGGTTAGGGTGCAAAGTATTATGTTGTATTGTTACTTCTATTGCATTAGTATAATACATAGCTAGGTTTTTCTACTATTAGCTCTCGACGTAGCTTCTGTTTCTAGTACCATATGTTTCCTTCTTTCATAGTAGCTTCTGTGTACCAGCTCTGAGATTGCCGAGAAGCATTGGAATCATCTCTGGAAGCTTGGGGAAAGTCAGATGATGCTGTCTGAGATGATTGAGACAGGGAAATAAAAGACTTTGACTGAAAGTGTTATTGCTGTGGGGAGGCTGGAAGGGCTATTGTGAAGACTGAAAATTGGTTCTGAATGCAAAATTACTATTTCTACCATTGATCTGAGTGCACCGAACATGTGGTGCTGGTGTTTCTCGATTTGAAACTTGAGAAGAAGAAACCTCAGTTTGCGCACTCATGCAATGTTAAAAATCATAGGCTCACCAAGTTGTTTGAATATTTAAATTCTATTCTCTAATGCTCCTAAAGAGATTCAATCTCAGCAAAGTCAAATACTCAGGCTTACTGTTGGTGAGAGGAATTAGGGTTTCATATTCAATAGACCTTCAAGGATAACATCCAATTGTACCTACTCAGAAACAGTTTCTCCAATAGAATTTAATTATTCTGCTAGAGCTTTAATGCGCACAAGAGACTTAGGGATGGGTCTATCACCTTTCTTTGATTCGTAATTCGGTTCGGAGTTGACATGCTTAAGATTTGGGTTGAACTTGAAAATGAATATGTATTCATTCCAATAGTTGGAAAGCATGTTGGCAACCAATGACTCTTGGTAGTAATGATATAGATAGACAGGATTGCAACTAAGTAAGCAGCATTTGATCTCGAAGCTCCCAAACATGTATGCTTAATTCTCCATACCAATGGCATGATCAACAATTGAAAGATACTGTGGTGGAGTTTGAGAGCTTACCACATCACGATAAAGTCTGTATGCTGTTAAAACAGGATCAAGTTGTTGTTTCCAAACGAGAAAGCTGCAACCATTCAACTTCTCAATGATAGTCATGGTTAAGCTTTAGAAGCTCTAGATACCATGAAATGATCTAATCCAGGTTCATAGCTTGAAAACAGTGAGAATTTGAGAGTAAGATAAAACTTATCGGCTGTGGAATATGAGATTCAGCAATATGACTCAGATATTTAAAAGGTGGGGTAGTTATAAAAAATTAGTTTTGAGCTGCTTACAGCTGCTAACTGAATCTTATATGAAAATCCTGTAAATCGGAATTATGGGACTAAGCAATATGACTCAAGTATTTATAGGACAGGAGAGTTTCAAGATATTAGTTATGAGTTAGTTACAGCTGCTGACAGCTGTAACTAACTCCAGAAGTGCAAAGCCTATACAATGCACATAACAGGGTTTAATAGAGTACATATGAACATAAGCTATTCAAGCATATACTCTAAGAACTACTACAGCAGAAGCCAAGCGAAGCGACTTGAAGCAGGAGCTACCAGGAAATAGTAGAAGCACATATCCTATATACTAGGGAATGCAACAACAACAATCATACACCCGACAATACAACAAATTATATGCACTCTTAACACTAACATATGCGTAGATGGCAGTTCCATGTATGTCTAACATAAAGGAAGAAAATAACTTTATCTTTTGGGGAGGGATGGGCCAAATGAGAGAAGGAAGCTGTTCTTGTATCAACCCATTTACTGATTCATATGAAGTAAACAAGAGGCCCCAACAGAAACATCACGTGCATTATAAAAAAATTGGGTTGGAAAGTTTGTTTTGCTCTGATGAACTTGTGTATTTTTTAAATGATCTTGTCGTTTTGGAGGATATACTAGTGTCCCCGTGTTTGTGTTATTTTTATGTAAGTTAAAAGTTGCAAGATTTATTCATTATGACCGGAGTGTTAGAGACTTAAGACCTTTCATATTGAGTCATAAACTTTATAATATGTGATCTCTCTTTACTGCAAATTAAAGTATTGCTTGTGTGCAAAATGCTACCTGCATGATTCAGCATATTTGCGTGTGGAAAATAAGTTAAACATAAAATGCAGGCATGAAAATTCAAGTGTCCCAGTTCATGAAATAATATTTTCTGCTGTTGACAAACCAAAGCTTTTAAGTCAGGTATGTTTGAAAAGTTTATCTTATCTTTTTATAACTAAAATTTGCATATTTTGCAAGTTAATTTAAACTCCAAATGTAAATGAGCTAATTTTCATCTACACTTCATAAAATATATAGATTTGTTTTCCATCGTTTTCTTGATTTGACATGTATGCGGAATTTGTGGAATGAAATGGAACCATTCCTTAAAGTTTGTATGTATTTGATACCAGAATTTATTGAGGAGTTTTGGAGTATACTATTATATAAAGCAAAGTTAGAAAAAGAAGCTAAAGAAACTTTTTGAAAGCTAATGTGGGATATTGAAAAAATGTAGTTTTGATTCATGAACTTTCTGCATCATTGTTTTCTTGATACTGACAAGTGATTTGTATTATTGCATATTCTTGTTTATTTGACACATTATTATTCATATATAATTCGTAAACGTTGATCTTCCGGGTGGATTTTGGCGATTTCCTTTGTGCAAACTTAGCTCCATTTTGTTATTATTGTGGAGTATGAGGTTATATTTCGTTAGTGCCTTAAAATATGAGTGAAGGATAGCATGATTTCTTTTGATGAATATTATTTCCTATTGACGGATAGCATGATTTATTTGATGAACATTATTTTCTTTAGCTGTCCGCATTGCTGTCTGATATTGGGCTTAACATCCGTGAAGCACATGTGTTTTCCACAACTGATGGCTACTCCCTCGATGTTTTTGTGGTAGATGGATGGCCACTAGAGGTATGCTGCTACTTCCGGTGAATTTGATGCTATTTGTTTCCTCTTGAAAACCTCTAAATTTGTACCTTTATTTCCTCAAAACCAATCATTGTTCATAAATTTAAATTTTATATTGGTATTTGTGTTGTTGCATGCATTTGATAACTCTTCAAGTCAATATACAATTTTGTACTTAGTGGTTAAAATGTTCAACTCTGCTACTGACATCTAAGCTTTTGAAGACGGATTAGGTGTGAACACCAGTATTTTAACTCACTAATTGTTGAAATTTCCGCCTTAATTGCGGTTCGTCTCTAGTCGCCTTAATTGCGGCATTTTGGCTTGCCTTCATTGCAGCCCCTAATTCCTTCATTGTGTTGGGTTTGAATGGGTGGATTTAGTCTCACATTGCTTAGAAATATGACTTGTGTTTATAAGTGGGGGGCAATCCTCACCTTACAAGCCGGTTTTGTAGGGATGAGTTAGACCCAACCCAAATTCTGAGATGGTATCAAAGTCTATCTTAGATCCATTGTTGGGCTTCCAACATCGTCCACGCTTCGGGCTCATTGAGGCCCAAGCGTGAGGAGTTGTGTTGGAATTTCCGCCTTAATTGCGGTCTGCCCCTAGTCACCTTAATTGCTGCATTTTGGCTTGTCTTCATTGCAACCCCCAACACCTTCATTGTGTGGGGTTTGAAGGGGTGAATTTAGTCCCACATTGCTTAGAGATATGGCCTGTATTGTGTTTCTAAGTGGGGGGCAATCCTCACCTTACAAGCCGGTTTTGTAGGGATGAGTTAGATCCAACCCAAATTCTGAGACTAATGTTCATCTGAATCATAATTACTTAAAGACTAATAAATGTATTAGATTTTTTAATTTGAATTAAAAAGTGAATTGGTCTAAATCGGGGCATGGACTTGTAGACTATCATGGAGCATTATTATTATACTTCTCGTGTCATGGATCTATGCTAAGTCCAATTGTTGCTGACTTTGCAATCTTGTGCCCAGGAAACCGATGGGTTGTATGCTGCTATGGAAAAAGCTGTAGCAAGGAGTGAGGTGCGTTTTGTTTCCTTGACTTTGTATCTACAAATCTTATGTTTGTTTTATTTGAGATGTTGAATTATACTTCTGCCAAGAATGAGTAAGTTAGTGATTTTTAATGTTAGTTGGCATGCCTTTTCTGCAATAAACTTCTAAAAAAGTAACTCAACAGTTTCCTTGGACATGACTCATGAATATAGGATCCTAGGGGAGGAAAAATATTTTGGATTTTAAAATTGAATATAGAGAAATAGACCACTTATAATAAACATAACAAATCCTGTAAAACAGTTAAATTTTAGCTTGCTTTTGAAAAAGTTAAAAGAAGAATTGCAGTTTCCCATGGCTCATGCACAATAAACTCCTTATAGGGTGGACAATTGTGAAAAGAAGCTGGACAAACCCTCAAACCTAATGTTCATACAAGCTGCCAAATATCTAGTCCAAAGCTGCCAAAATATCTAGTCCAAAGCTGCTAATTAGCCCCACTGTGTAAAAAATGGTGTCAGTGGTCAATCTACAAAAATAAAACACAAACATATGGACTAACAGACCTTGTCAATCAAGCCACGTATGAGCTTGTTACAAATAGTTAATATTACTATTGATACTAATGTCCCAAAATAGTCTTTTGTAACATACTAACATTACATACTGTATTTTACTTAAAAAATCATTATGCACAAGTCGTCTTCATAGACTATAGTTGATGTGTATATTACCCTTTGTTTAAATATGTAATCTCTTTAGCTTTAGGAAATACTCACAAAACCTTGTTCATCAGAAATCCACTTCAGTCACGGAAAGTCCCTAATCGCCTAATTGCAACATTTGAGTTGCCTTTATTACAATCTCCAACACCTTTATTTTGTTGGGTTTGAAGGGGTGGATTATGATAGAACAGAGGTATATATTAAAGAAAAGTATTTTATTAATTAATATGAAAGTAAAATAAATTCCAGAGCTATTGCTCCTCAGTCAGAGAAACTATTCTCTCACTGCCCAAACCCTAAGGTCAAAAACAGAAAATCAATTAATGCCTAACTACTGCCCCATACACTCCTCTTTATATGGAGAATAATCCCTAAACTAACTCCTATTTATATGGAGAATAATACCTAAACTAACTCCTATTTATTTGTGGAGTTTCCTATTCTTTCTCACATATACCCTCCATTGTTTAGGTCCAATAATATCTCTATTAACTAACACATTCCCATCATCATTTGTGGGATCCGATCCATTCCTATCATCACCCCCACCTACAACATTAGCCTTGTCCTCAAGGCGCAGATCAGGGAATTGACTCTTCAGCAACAGTTCCTCTTCCCAGGTAGCATCTCCAACATCCATCCCTTCCCATTGAATCAACCATTCTCTCTTATGTTGTCCACCATCAAATTTGTCCCTCCATGACACAACCTTAGCCGGAGTAATGTCCCCTTTTTCTGACTCTAAACTGATAGGTAGCTGAATTGTAGCAGTATAGTTGCCCACCGCTTTCTTCAATTGCGACACATGAAAGGTAGGATGTATTTTAGATGTTGGTGGTAACTTCAACTTATAAGCAACTTGCCCTATCTTCTTTATGATTTGATACGGACCGAAAAATCTAGGGGCCAGTTTTTGATGGATTCTTTGCACAACCGATTGTTGTCGATGAGGACGTAATTTGAGGAAAACCCAGTCACCCACCTCAAATTGCACTGCCTTGCGTTTCTTGTCAGCTTGGAATTTCATGTCCTCCTGGGCTTTGAGTAAATTAGTTTTTAATTGACGCAACGCCTCATCTCTGTCCCTTAACTCCTGTGCTACAGCTTCCACTCTGGTTTCACCCTCCAAAAAATGCACCAACACTGGAGGTTTTCTACCATATACCACCTCGAAAGGGGTGAACCCGGTAGACACGTGAAATGTGGTATTGTACCACAGTTCTGCCCATGGAATCCAGTGTGCCCATGTCTTAGGTTGATCTGCAATAAAACAACGTAGATAGGCCTCTAAACAACGATTAATTACTTCTGTTTGACCATCCGTTTGGGGATGGTATGCCGAGGACATTTTAAGCACCGTACCTACTAATTTGAACAACTCTTTCCAAAAAATACTCACAAACAAGGGGTCACGATCACTAAGAATAGACTCCGGAATGCCATGTAATCTAACCACTTCCTTCACAAAAACAGCAGCTATTGAGCGAGCAGTAAATGGATGTTTAAGAGGAATGAAATGGCTGTATTTGGAGAGACGGTCCACCACAACCAATATAGCTTCAAATCCATTACTTTTTGGCAAACAAGTGATGAAATCCATGGATATCTCACTCCACACCATAACCGGAATGGGAAGAGGTTGTAGTAATCCATTAGGAGTCGTTGCCGCATATTTTTGTCGTTGACAAGTATCACAAGCTTTCACAAAATCTTGCACCCTCCGCATCATCCCTTGCCAATATAAAGTTCCTGCCATTCTCCTATAAGTGCGTAGGTATCCGGAGTGACCCCCACTTGGAGAAGAATGAAAATCTTTGAGTAACTCCTCAATAAGTGGCGAGTTAGCCGGTATAACTAACCTATTTTTGTAGAATAAGATGCCACCTTTTAAAGCAAAACCAGGTTTAGCATTAGGATCTTTTTGAATAGCTTCCATAATATTTTTAAGCAAAGGATCATTTGATACTTCTTGTTGTAGTTGGCTGCTCTGCTGCCAAATAGGGTAGGATTTAATCGCTTGCATTTCAGCATTCTCGTGCTGTCTAGATAAAGCATCAGCCACTTTGTTTTCCACTCCCACCTTGTACACCACCTCAAAGTCAAAACCCAATAACTTAGCCATCCATTCTTGCTGATTTGCTGTGGTAATACGTTGTTGCAACAAGTGTTTTAGGCTCTTTTGATCAGAATAAACCACAAACCTCCTGCCTAACAAATAATGTCGCCAATGTTGAATAGCTAACACTAAAGCCATTAACTCCTTATCATAGGCAGATTTGGATAACCTAGATGAATCAAAAGCCTTGCTAAAATATGCAATAGGATGCTTCGATTGTAACAATATTGCACCAACTCCTTTTCCCGAGGCATCACATTCAATTTCAAAGGGGAACTTGAAATTAGGCAGGGCTAAAACTGGGGCAGTTGTAACAGCTACTTTCAATTTCTCAAAAGCTTCGGCAGCTGCCGGATTCCAGCTAAAACCATCCTTCTTTGTCAATTCTGTTAAGGGTTTAGCAATTTTTCCATAATTCGCTATAAACTTTCGGTAATACCCCGTCAACCCCAAAAAACCTCGCACTCCTTTGACATTCCTAGGAATAGGCCATTGTAACACACTGCTGACCTTGGCAGGATCAACAGCAACCCCTGCTTTGGAAATGACATGACCCAAATATTCTACTTGGTGCTGACCGAAAGTGCATTTCTTCCGATTTGCCACAAACTGATGCTGCTTCAGAATCTTAAGAACCACCTCCAAGTGCTGTAAATGTTCAGCCCAACTACTACTGTATACTAGGATATCATCAAAAAAAACCAGGACAAACTTCCTTAGAAAAGGCTTGAAAATTGCATTCATCACCGATTGAAAAGTTGCAGGAGCATTGGTGAGGCCAAACGGCATTACCAAAAACTCATAGTGACCCTCATGAGTCCGAAAAGCCGTTTTATGAATATCCTCTTCCTTCATCCGAATTTGATGATAACCGGATTTGAGATCAAGCTTAGAGAAATAACTACAGCCATGTAACTCATCTAACAATTCATCTACAACCGGAATAGGATACTTGTCCTGAATTGTGACCTTGTTGAGTGCACGGTAATCTACACACATACGCCAAGATTGATCCTTCTTCTTGACCAAAATGACGGGACTAGAGAACGCGCTGGTGCTGTTTCTAACCACCCCTTGTTGCAATAGGCTCTGAATCTGTTTTTCAATTTCATCCTTGTGTACATGAGGATATCTGTAAGGTCGCACACTTACCGGACCCGCACCCTGGAAAAGGTCAATTGAATGACTAGTGTTTCTTGACGGAGGAAGACCTTGGATTTCTTTAAACACAATAACAAAATGCTCCAACAATCCTTCCAACTCCCTAGTCTGTTGATCCGAGACACACGACACCGGTGAGCCTAACACCTCCATCAAGGTAGGCCATTCACAGCCTGCTATCATTCGAGAAGGAGTGATAATGCTTTGGAAAGTAGCCATCTTATCATCTACAGCCTGACCAAGTAGTTTCACCATCCTGCCTTTATGGTTGAACTCCATAGACATTTCTTTCCAATCCATGGTTACCTTCCCCAACGTTTCTAGCCACACAACTCCTAAAATCAAATCCACACCTCCTAACTCCAATACATAAGCATCAAAGCAAATCTGCACTGATCCCACTTTCATCTGAATTCCATTGCATCTACCCCTAGTTAGGACACGATGACCATCTCCTAACTTAACACCCAAAGGATTAGAAGGCACCATAGACAATCCCAGGGCTTCAACCACCTTAGGTGATATGAAATTATGTGTGGCTCCACTGTCAATAAGTACCAGAATTAATGCACCGTGTAAACATCCCTCCAATTTCATCGTCCGGACCTGATTTGGATTAGTGGATACACCAAACAGCCCGATGGTTTTACATTCTAATTCCTCTGGTGTGAGCTCTTCTTCCGTCGCAGCCTCCAATACCACAATCTCGCCTGCATCGTTAACAATTTCGTCATCCCCCAAGATAATCAATCGTAATTGTCTTGTTGCACATTGATGGAGAGGATCCCATCGTTCGTTGCAACGAAAACAGAGTCCTTTCGCACGACGCTCATTAACCTCTGCACTTGGTAGATGGCGAACACCACGAGATTGACGGCGTGAGTTGTCACCTAAATTTGGGCGAGAAGATGCTGTAGAATTGATAGGACGTGTTTGAGATCCAGAATCCGAACCAGTCCGTGTTTTGCCCAAAGAATTATTAGGTTGGGTCTGAGTTACAGATCCGTTCCCTTCCCCTTCGCGAAAAGCCCAAGTAGGCTTTTGAGATTTTGACCAAGAAGCATGACCCGGTTTGTAACGTGCTCCAGAACCCTGTCCAGAAGCCACTGCAAATTCTCTTTCAACATCACGAGCCAATTGCATTGCTAGGTAACGGTTGCGAGGCTTGAAGGTACGCACACGAGAACGAATATCATGACGTAAACCACCAATGAAGTAACCTAGAAACTGTTGTTCTGGCAAACGACCACACTGTGAAGAATACAGTTCGAATTCAGCAATATATTCCTCTACTGATCCCGATTGTTTTAGGTCCTTTAATTCCTCAAACGGATTCTCCAAACGCCCACCTCCAAATCGAACCATCATCGCCTCACGGAGGTTCTCCCATGACAATTCCTCTGTTGAATCATGCCATAGGTTAAACCAATGGATAGTAGGGCCTTCCATACTCAATTTGGTCAACTGAATACGAACATCCTGCGAAATTCGTTGTACCTCAAAGTATGTCTCTGCCCGAGTGATCCATGCAACCGGATCGTCACCGGTAAATGCCGGCAACTCCACCTTCTTCGCAGATAAACGAAACTCATCCAGCGGTGAGGAAACTGTTGCACTGCTTGGCTGCGGCACTTCACGATGAGCCATTGCACGTTGAATCTCAGCACCAATGAACTCTCGTAACGCAGCAATGCTAGCCTCAACACCTTCCAACCTTTCTTCCACTGCAGAAACACGGTCAGCCATCTTAGGAGCTTTGGGCATGAACAATGGTAGGTCGGACCAATTGATAGAACAGAGGTATATATTAAAGAAAAGTATTTTATTAATTAATATGAAAGTAAAATAAATTCCAGAGCTATTGCTCCTCAGTCAGAGAAACTATTCTCTCACTGCCCAAACCCTAAGGTCAAAAACAGAAAATCAATTAATGCCTAACTACTGCCCCATACACTCCTCTTTATATGGAGAATAATCCCTAAACTAACTCCTATTTATATGGAGAATAATACCTAAACTAACTCCTATTTATTTGTGGAGTTTCCTATTCTTTCTCACATATACCCTCCATTGTTTAGGTCCAATAATATCTCTATTAACTAACACATTCCCATCATCATTTGTGGGATCCGATCCATTCCTATCAGATTAGTCCCACATTGCTTAGAGATATGGCATGTGTAGTTACTAGTTATTATAATGTTTGGGCAGCTCCCTTACAAGCCGGTTTTGTAAGGATGAGTTAGGCCAACTCAAATTCTAAGATAGTATCAGAGCCCATCTTAGATCTGTAAGAGTGTGTATTGGAAATTTCTCCTTCATTGCGGTCTGCCACTAGTCAACTAATTGTGGCATTTGAGTTTCCTTCATTGCGGTCCGTCTCTAGACAACTAATTGTGGCATTTGAGTTTCCTTCATTGCAGCCTCCAACGCCACTAGTCAACTAATTGTGGCATTTGAGTTTCCTTCATTGTGGTCTGTCTCTAGTCAACTAAATTGTGGCATTTAAGTTTCCTTCATTGCGGTCCATCTCAAGTCAACTAATTGTGGCATTTGAGTTTCCTTCATTGCAGCCTCCAACAAGCCTGTGTAGTGTTCATAAAGACTGGGCAGCCCTCACTTTACACGTCAGTTTTGTAGTGATGAGTTAGGCCAATCTGAATTCTAAGATGGTATCGGAGTCTATCCTAGTTCTTTTATTGGGCTTCTTGCATCGTTCACGCTTCAGGCCCATTGAGGCCTGAGTGTGAGGGTGTGTGTTGGAAATTCTGCCTTCATTGCAGTCTTTTCCCAGTTTTCTAATTGTGGCATTTGAGTTGCATTCATTGCGGCATCCAACACAATACTTTCATTGTGTTGGGTGTAAAAGGGTGGATTTAATCCCACATTGCTTAGAGATATGGCCTTTAACACCTTCACTGAGTTGGGTTTGAAAGAGTGAATTTGGTCTCACCTTAGTCTCACATTGCTTAGAGATTTGGACTGTGTAGTGTTTTTAAAGCTTGGGAGCCATCACCTTACAAGACAGTTTAATAGGGAAGAGTTAAACCAACCCAAATTCTAAGATGGTATCAAAGCCTATCATAGATATGATGTTGGTCTTCCCGCATCGTCGACACTTCAGGCCCTTTGAGGCCCGGTCGTGAAGGGGCGTGTTGGAAATTCCGCCTTCATTGCGGTCCTTCTCTAGTTGTCTAATTGTGGGCATTTGAGTTGCATCAATTGCATCCTCCAACACCTTCATTGTATTAGGTTTGAAAGGGTGGATTTAGTCTCACATTGCTTAGTGATGTGGCCTCCAATACCTTCATTGTGTTGGGTTTGAAAGGGTGAATTTAGTCCTACATTGCTTAGAGATATGACCTATGTACTGATTATCAAACTTGGGCAACCCTCACTTTACTAGACAATTTTTTAGGGATGAGTTAGACCAACCCAAATTCCAATTGATGCATAGTTGTACAAAAGAATACAATGATAACCAAAGAGGTTATGCAAGCTTATGGTTTAATTGCTGATTTTTGCTAGTTTTTAGTGACCGTGGCAGTGGATTTTCTGAAGAATCTTGGGTTGAGTCTAAACTCAACTTTACATGACCGGCTTGTAAAATGAGGATTGTCCTCACTTGTTAACATATTTTGAGTCCATCTCTCATCCAATACGACGTTTTAAGTCCATCTCTCATCCAATACGGGACTCTTAACACTCCCCCCTCCCCTCCCTCCCGTGACTAGGAATGGAAATTTGGATTGTGATTCGAATATTCCGATAGCAAAAATTTGATAGCAGGTGACCTAGGGGTTCTTGGATTGGCTCTGATACCATCTTAAGATTCTTGGGTTGAGCCTAAATCAATGTTACAAAACCTACTCGTTATATGATGATTGTCCCCACGTATAAACATATTTTCAGACTATATCTATTCAGTGTGAGACTCTTAACACATTTGAATATTCTTATTTCTAATGATAGTCTATGTTTAATGTTTGAAAGGGAATTTAATGATATTCAGTAATTGTCTTTCACTGCATCTAGTAAAGTTGACTGAGGCTTTTATATTTTACTGACTTCCATTTTTTGCTCTCCACATTAGTCTCTACTTTATACCCATCGCAAAGCATCGGGTCCTCTTTCAAAACAAGAGTATGCGCGAACCTCCAAGTCAACCAAGACTTTCTTTCATAGAGGCTTGAATGATGTTGCTTGTTTGGGTTGAGCAATACAATCCTAACTGTAAGGGAGTGTGCTGAGTCCTACATCGGCCAAATATTTGGTCTTAGTAGTGATTATAAGGCTTGACAGTCCTCACCTTACAAGGAGTTTTGTAGGGATGTGTTTGGTCATGAGCTCAAATTTTATCTTGCTAAGAAACAAAATATTGTTGCATGGTCAAGTGCAAAAGCGGAATATTGAGCCATGTTAACAATTACTTGCAAGTTCATATGGCATAAATAGTTACATTAGTATCTTAGATTTGGAGATGCAACATTGATGACACTTATTTGTGAATAATTAAGTTTCTTTGCTTTTGCCTCAAATGATCAATTGGAAGATGTAATGGGTTCTCTGATTCTCTTTATCATTTTCTCTTTCTCTTGCTAAGCATGTAAACGAGCCAGTAATATTGTAATCAATATTTTTCCTTTCTCTAGGGGTCATGGTCTCATTCTTCAAATTCTCATTCAGCTGTGGCGAAAGCCTTAGCAGCGGAAGGAAAATCTGGAGACTGGGAAATAGACAGGAGGTCGTTAAAGATAGGAGAAAAAATAGCATCTGGATCCTGTGGAGATTTGTAAGTTGAGTTGTTTTTCCATTATTGTTTTTCTATATTCTTTAACTTTTCTTTCTGTTCTGCTCAATGTCATAATATTTATATTCTCTTGCTTCTAATTCTTTTCATGTTTCGGACAGGTATCATGGAGTTTATCTTGGTGAAGATGTTGCTGTTAAGGTTTTGAAATCTGGGCAACTGAATGATGCCTTAGAAGATGAGTTTACGCAAGAAGTAGCAATTTTGAGGCATGTATTTCGCTGCCCTTGGTTTAAGTATTAAAACAATCCTACATATTGCATAATTTTTCTTTTTCATATAAATTATTTTTCAGAATTTTTTTAAATATTTGTTCTTGTTTTTGTTTTACAGCGTAATTTTTTTTAACTGTTAACTTTTTGTTGTACAGCATAACTTTGTTCTCTTTTTCTTCAGGAATACTCTTATATTCTAAATACTCTAGCAATATTGTCTAAGATATTATAAGATATTTTCTTTTATTCTGACAACTATATATTTAAATCAGTAAAGAAAGAATTGAAATATCAACTCAAGTACCAAATCTTAAAGAAGTATTTGGTATGCTACTAAACTATCAGTCTTAATTTTTTCAAGGAAAGAAAAATAGGCTTTGCTGTACTCTGGTCCACTAGTGACCTACTTTTTATCAAGTGTATAAATCAAACCAATATTCTGTCAGTTACAAGCATATGAGCAGCCATATTAAATGTTATCTGTAGCAGTTAGAGAGTCTAAGAGCAGCCATTAGTATTATTAAGAAATGTGGTTAGGCCTAACTCAACCCTACAAAACCGGTTGGTAGAGTGAGGATTGCCCCCACTTATAAACACTTGTTCATGCCATATATTGTCTGATGTGAGACTCTTAACAAGTATTATTAGAGTAGCAATTATTATTATTAGGAGCAGTTACAAAACTTAGGTAGAATAAAAAGGGGAACAAAACCATGTTCTGGGCAGGCTGAACATTAGAAAGAGGTTTATTTGGAAGGGAGAGACCAAACTCTCGAATTCTTGGAAGGGAGAGAACCAAGACTCTTGAATTTCTTGGAAACTCTTGAATTTCTTTTCCTAACAGTTAGCTGCTTACTTGCAACTGTTCTTTTGGTTAATCCTTCAAGGATTGGATGTCAGTCTATTAAAAACTTCTTAGTTTCTCATTGATGTTTTCTGCGCCGGAGTTCCTCTATCTGCTACTACCTTCATCTCATCAAAAGTATATTATTTGCAATATTTCTGGCTCAAATTAATTGTCACTTCAGAATTCCAATACAATGTCTATTAACTTTCTCCAACAATGCTCTCATTCAATTAAGTCCTCCATCTAACTATTTCACTACTACTACTACTACTCTCAACCATTCTAATTAATATGGGCATGTTAGACTACACAATTTTACTATTGAATTTGACATGACTATAACATTTTCTTCAGAAGTGTGAATTAGCTTAACAAGATAGATGATATAGGACGGCGGGAGTACTTAGGTTTATTACTTTAGTTTACATCACTCAGTTTTGACAATATCAATATGACAAGTATTTCTGAATACAGACAGGTGCATCAAAAAATGTAGCTTTCTCTAGCCTGAAAATATTGACAATCAGATTTTTTATTTCTGAATGCAGACAGGTGCATCATAAAAATGTTGTTCGTTTCATTGGTGCATGCACAAAGTGTCCACATTTGTGCATAGTAACAGGTATTAGATCTATCCATTTGGTCATGCTGATATATCGTTGTACAATAGCCAATTAAATGCGTAATTTATAAATCACTCCTTTTATTGAGAGATGTCGTACATAACTAAAGATTATGGAGGAGTTCTATGAAACTTATTTGAATTTGAACACCAATGTAAAAAATTGATGAGATATTGTATAACTTGATGAATTATGTATCTAATCCTCATTACAATTATGCAAATGAGAATCCCTTGATTGATTGAAATATGAACTAAATAAAAATAAAAGCAAGAAACCATTATTTGTATTCAAATGATATTTCAAAATTCTGTACGTTCTGGCAGAGTATATGACTGGGGGAAGTCTGTATGATTACTTGCACAAGAATCGTAATGTCTTGGAGCTGTCTCAATTACTCAAGTTTTCAATTGATGTCTGCAAGGGAATGGAGTATTTGCACGGAAATAACATAATTCACAGAGATCTGAAGACAGCCAATTTGCTGATGGATACTCACAATGTATGAATCAGATGATATATATATATATATATATATATATATATATATATATATATATATATATATATATATATATATATATATATATATATATATATATATATATATATATATGTATATATATATATATATATATATATATATATATGTATATATATATATATATATGTATATATATATATATATATATATATGTATATATATATGTATATGTATATGTATATGTATATGTATATGTATATGTATATGTTATTTTGTTTTAAAAGAAATATTGGTTGAATGTTTGTTATTTTATGAAATTCTGTATCATTTAAGTTGTTTTTTTTTCCTTCATTTTTTATTAGGTTGTTAAAGTGGCAGATTTTGGAGTTGCTCGGTTCCTTATCCAGGGGGGAGTGATGACTGCAGAGACCGGAACTTATAGATGGATGGCACCAGAGGTTTGCTATTTGAAATTAAAATCTGTTATGCTTTTTCATGTTTTAATATCATGTTGCAATAATGGGTAATGAAAACCAAGGGTTCAGGTCCATTAATAATAAGGCTTAAATGTATTTTTGGTCTTCATATTTTGATAAAAATTAACTTTCTGCGTGCCGTTTACAATCTTTGGAATTTGTTTGGTCCTCCACCATTGTGATGTTGCAGAAGTCTTACTGAGCTCCTCAGGCTTACCAGTCATGAGATTTTGAACTTTCTTTGAGAGATGAAGATCAGGGACGGAGTGTTGGAGGAGCTCAGTGGAGCAGTAAGAGTTGTGCCACATCACTGGATTATCATAAATGATGATGCCACATCATCAAAAATGGTGGTGGATCAAAAAAATCCTAAAGATTTTGAAAAAGGGACCAAAAAACTCGGTTTTAGAAATGCAGGGAAAAAAATTTAATTTTGGCCAAAAATATGAGGGCCAAAAGCGCATTTAAGTTTAATAACAATTAAATGTTTCTTCTAATGACTATTTGAGTTTGGGATCTAGAATTTTAATTTGCAATTTCCTTTTACACTCTTCAGCATAAACCGTTAGAATACATGATGATGACACATCATCAAAAATGGTGGCGGACCAAAAAAATCCTAAATATATTGAAAAAAGGACCAAAAACTCGGTTTTAGAAATGTCGGGACAAAAATTTAATTTTGGTCAAAATAGGGGACCAAAAGTGTATTTAAGTCTTTTAACAATTAAATGTTTTTTCTGATGACTACTTGAGTTTGGGATATAGAATTTCAATTTGCACTTGTTAAATACCAAAAGTGTATTTATGTGCTAGGATGTTTGGATATAAAATAAAGGGGGATTACAGGTAGTTAAGAGTAGTGGTTAGTCTTGAAATTTGGTTTATGGATACTCGACCCTACAAAACCGATCAATCTTCGGCCACTGCCAGAATTGCCAAATCAGGAGCCACCCATGGCAGCAGTGGAGATTCAAGTTAAAAGTTACTCAACAATTCCCCAGCAACACTACAGCCCCCAGACACTGTATCTTCCACATAAAAGGATGTGTTCTCGATTTCGTATTAACTGGCTATGTTTCGGCCGTTATAACCATTGGATACCAGCTTGCAGGTGGCAATCACTAGGTTACACAAGTGGAGTAACCATGGGCATCGACAACATCTGATTTGCTCACGTAAATTGTTTTTTGTGAAGAAACATGGCTTAAGAGAATGGACATTCTACAAGTTGGGGAATCATTCCAAACCTAATGAGTCAGGGGCAAAACTGTGGTTACTATGCGGGTTATTCATCCATTTCCATTTAAAGTGCATCTCAGCAGTGGAATTTGTGAGAGATCTGTAATGTCTATCAACTAAACTTTTAATTTTTGGCTTGATAATTCCAGCCGAAGTACCTAAGTGCAAAGAGAAAGTCTGGTGCTCGACTCCTGTTTTTGAGTGACAAAGAGAGCTTCCCTTTTTCATTGAAATTTGAAAGCAAATTGTTGGGCATGCTATGGAGATGGAAGCCCAGAATGGGCACACAAGTAGTAGTTGGGAGATTAAATCAAAGTTGGGGAGTCATTGCATTATTGCAGAAAATTGGAGATGCACATTCGATTTATTTCCCAGCATGCTCCCAAGTCCCAACAGTGGGATCCTAAGGGAAAGAATTTTGTTTTCAGCAGCTTTTAGAAAGGCTTTTTAGGCCTACAAGCTGCTCAAGAACTGGGATGTGAGAAATAACCAGAGTTTTTCTCACTACTTTCTCCCTGTCTATACTGAGTTTCATTTGTCATCTTGAGATAACAGTAGTAATAAAGGGAACATTGAGTTCAATGAGGAGAGTGATGCCAAAAAAATTTAGCAGCTGTGAGAGCTAAACTGCTGTACTGTACTTTGGCACTGGACCAAGCCACCAATATCTGCTTTTTTGAATCACCAAGATACCAGATCTGGCCCAAGAAATATGCAAGAACCACTGGTGGACCTCCTCTTTTTTGGATATGTTGGCCAGTCCACGTCACAGAAAGCAGGTTTTGGGTATCTCAAAATACATTTGATGAATTTCTGGTGCTCCTGTAAAGGTTCTGCCATAATCGATTTTCAGGCCTTGAAGCAGTCACGCATTGAAAGGCACAAACAAGGCCACAACTGACCTGTACAACTGAGGGTCTTCCATATATATTTCTACCAAGCATAGAAAGCTTGCAGCCCCACCGAGTAGAAATTCCCTTTGATTCATCAATTTAGGAAAAAAATAGCAAGATACTAATATGTTTGGACTTATCAGTGCACTGGTATTTATTTTAGAAAGTGAGAGAAGATGAAAATTTCATCATTTAGAATATTCTAGAGTAGAGAGAATGAAAAGGATATTTTGTTATGATTGAATAGAAATGATCAAATTCTATTACAGATTAATAGCTGACAGTTATTTATCAAGGCTTGTAACTAATGAGAGTTAGTTACTGTCATGCTGACTCAGCTAGGGTTTGTTAAAACAAGCTACCAATTATGCTGTCTCAACATAAGGTTGTTACAAGATAAAGCCTAACTCAATCTGTTTTGTTAATCATTACAGTTACTCATTTATTTAATGCAGCGACTTCACTGATACCGCAGTTACTCTAACAATTTAGACCATGATGTAAGCTACTCAACAAGCCTCATACACATTCTTAGAATTTGGACTTTGGGCCTAGCTCGTCCAAGCTACTAAATGTTTGGATTGATCAGTACACTGGTACTTATACCATGTTGCAAGCTGGATCAGAAGCCTTATTCACATTTTAAGAATTCGGACTTGGGCCTAGCTCAGCCTGAAAAACCAACTCTAGAGATGACGAACATTAGTCTTTGTAATGATTACTTTGGCAATATCTCTTGTCAATGTAGGATCTCAATACGCAATACAGAATAACACAGAAGTCAGTAACTGTAGAAACATCATGCTGACACTTCTATTAGGAGCTTCAGCATAAGACGTGATACTCTAGTTCCTTGACACAATTTTTTGAAAAGTTCCTAATAGAAGTGTCAGCTGGGTTGTTTTATTTATAATCTTTTAAAATTTAAGCTTCTAATTGTAATGCATACAACAAATGACTTACTTTCTCTATGTCCTTTTCTGCCTAAACCTAAGCCAGAATGCAAAGAAATATCTCTTTTCTATGTTCTATATTTTCATTATTACTAGACGTGTTTGGCATGTGATTTATTAGTTTTACTATGGTTATACAATGGGTATCTTACTGTTATGGCATTTTCTCTCAAGGTCATAAACCACCAGCCTTATGATCAGAAGGCAGATGTATTCAGTTTTTCAATAGTACTATGGGAACTAGTGACAGCAAAGGTTGGAGTTATAGTATTTTATTCTCTTATTTATTGAACTGATAAAAAAAATTCTATGAGTTTTTTTACTATAGTACCCCATATCTCAAAATTAAATACCATAATACTCCATTTTAAAAAAAAAAATTCCAATATACCCTCTGCGCAGTACATGCTCGTCCACTGGGTTGGCGAGCACAAGAAGAATTTACATGCATGGTGTTCGTCCAATGAGTTGGCGAGCGTTCGACTCTTTTATAATTAATTAAACAATATTTTAATCTGAAAAAACAAAAAATTAATAAAATAAGAAGATGCTCGCCAATTCATTGGGCGAGCACCTATGTGCATGAAAGCTATGTGTCTGCTCGCCAACTCATTGGACGAGCACATGAAAGTAGGGTATCTAGGAAATCTTTTTTCAAAATAGGGTATTTTAGTATATAATTTTTAGCAGGGGGTAGAACAGTAAAAAAAACTCAAATTCTATATATTAAGAGAGATTCTTGTGCTGACGGTTTCTTCCCTTTGGTTACATCAGGTACCGTATGATACCATGACTCCACTACAAGCTGCTTTGGGTGTGAGACAGGTTTGAAATGATCTTGTCTTAGAGTCTACAATCATAATAAAAATAAATAAACAATCCAGTGCACAAATATCTTGTCAACAAAATTCTAATACTGATAAGGTTTCAAAACATAAATAACATAAACTATCAATAACAATTCTATAACACTGCATATAATAATAATTATTTTGTGGGGGATACATATAATTCTTGTTAATGCAATAACTACAATTAAAGAAGTTTATTTTTTCAAGATCAACATTATTGTACCCACTATAGGTGATATCACTTTTATACAACATAATAATACTAGACATGCTTAACAGGTTATGACAAATTTATGTCAAACATAAGCCTAGTAAGTAAATCAGCAAAAGCACATGTCATGACTTATTATATATAAGGAATTAAAATTAATCTTTAGACTTATAATTTGGCTTTCTAAAGTGAGCAGTTCACTTTAAAGGGAAAAGCCGGTAATATCAACTTTTAATGAAAAAGTCAATGGCTGTTATTATGTGTACTTGCATAACAAATTATGAATTTGTTACTGTTGTTAGACTACAAGTTAGCTATTGATTTTATCGTTAATGGTTGAGATGTTTCATTTTACCATCTAAACTGAGAGCTCACTTTTTGAGGAGCTATTGTACTGACACCTTAAAACTAAAAATGAGAATAGGAACCACCCTACTGGCATGACAGTGAATAATCTAGGCCATCACAGGCCATTCACGACAACTTCCAATCAGTGTCCATCAATTGGTCAAGTTCTGTAGTCGATAAACTTTTTCAAAATTGATATGTTTAGTTTAATAATCCGAAAGATGTATTGAAAATAGCTCATTAATGTTAATCCACATAAATAATGATACAACATTGTATTAATGTTATCGTGACTGCGTATAATTTGCAGTGTTCAACCAGTAGTTTGCACTTTTGTGTCTGACCCGGTTGAGAATTTTTGTACATCTTTTCAGGGACTGCGACCAGAACTTCCAAAGCATGGGCACCCTAAACTATTAGATTTGATGCAAAGATGTTGGGAAGCAATTCCAAGTACTCGTCCATCCTTCAATGAGATAAGAGTTGAACTTGAAAATCTTTTGCTAGAAGTGGAGGTAATTCATAGTAGTAACTTTTTTATATAAAAAAATGGTTTAATTTTTTGTTACATTCCAATAACATTTAACTTCACCAAAACTTCCAAAGCATGGTCTGATCTTCGTTTTTAACATGCAAATTGCAGAATAATTCAGAAGCTAACGGTGCTTAAGATTTCAAGCTCATACTATTATATTCTACTTATTTTCATACGTTTGGAGTGGTCTTTCGCTATTCAAATAGCTGTAGAGTTTTTCACGCTCCCGTTTACTCCAAGGGAAAAAAGGACTTCACAAAAGCTGACCAATAGAGTGAGAACATGTAAAGAGGCATACTAATGTTATTTGTTTATATAACTTAATATATATTTTGAAAAAAGGAATAACATATACCAGGCAAAATCACGTCCATGTTAACTGTGTAAAGATGTTGTGAAAAGAGGAATGTGTTCCATCCTTGTTTTGATGAGTTTTTTCTAATGATATAAAATGTGTTCTTTCAATTGACATAAAATTAATGAAGTTGTATACTGATGGTAATTATTATGTTAATGGATTAATGTTTCGTATTGTATATCCAAGCTAAGCTTAGTGCAAAGTATTAAATTTGTTTATTAATTATTCGTGAGTTATGTATTGTTTACCGATCGTTTTTTTAGCCTAGTGGTGAAATACAACTACAGTAGAAACTCTTTAAATTAATAATGTCAAGGGCTGGAGAAATTTGTTAATTTAAAAAGTTATTAATTTATTGATAAATTAATAATTATTAATTTAAAGAGTTTTTAAGTAATTATACTGTATATATCAAACAAAAAAGCAAATTAGTCTATGTCTCTTAGAATTACGTTGTAGCGAATCTTGGGATTTAAATTAGTAACTATTGTGTTCATATGCATTGGAAATCAATAATGACTTTTGAAGTACAGTAAATATAAACAAGAGGAACAAATGTGTTCAATGTATTTTTAAGCAAGTTTTTCATATATAAATTACATGAATGTGTTAGAGTATTCAAACCATATGTCACAAAATGGCTTCTCATCTAAAAAGTGTTGCAAAATCAACTATGTCAGATCAAATACGTAAGGAGTTGTGTGAGTACAAGAGAGATAATCCTGCAAGCATATAAAAAGACTTGCTGAGATGGCTTTAGAGAAAATTTCAGTTGAAAGTTAGTCAAGGAACAATATCAAACACACTTAAACGGTCAGATGACTATCTCTCTGCTAAAATAGAAAAGGGAAGAGTAGAGATCAAAAGACACAAACCAGCCAAATATCCTGACATGGAGAAGGTTGTTTATGAGTGGTTTCTCTAGTATCAAGAACGTGTGAATATCACAGGAAAATTAATTTTGCAGAAGGCAAGAGATACAATGAAACTCGTGTACCCTCATGATGATTCAGATTTTAACTTCTCTATAGGATGGCTTGGGAAATTCAAGAACTGTCATGGCATAAAGTCATTTTGTCGTTTTGGCGAGAGTGGGTTTGTTGATGTACAAGACATGGAGCAGAAATTGGTACCGATTCGGGAGAAACTTGATCAGATCCCTATGAAAGATGTTTTCAATATGGATAAAGTTGAGTTGTTTTATAGGCTACAAGCTGATCATTCACTGGCAACAAAACAACTTGAAGGAAGAAAACACGATAAAGAAATGCTGACGGTAGTTATTTGTTGCAATGAAGATGACTCTGAAAAAATCCCTATATGGATTATTGGGAAATATGCAAAGCCTCGTTGGTTCAAGAATGTCAACATGAATAGCTTGGATTGTCAGTATCGAGCTAACAAAAAAGCATGGATGACTAGTGTGCTTTTTGATGAATATGTTCGTTAATTTGACCAAATGATGCATGGTAGAAGAGTTCTACTTGTGGTGGATAATTGTCCAGCACATCCAAGAAATATTGAAGGCTAAGAAGTGTTGAGTTGTTCTTCTTGCCACCCAACATGACATCAAAGATTCAGCCTTGCGATGCTGGGATAATAAGAGCTTTCAAGATGCATTACCGCAGAAGGTTTTACCGCAAAATATTGGAAGGTTATGAGGTGGGACAATCTGATCCAGGGAAGATAAATGTCCTTGATGATATCAATTTGGCAATCCCAGCTTGGACGATATATGTTCAAAAAGAAACAATAGCAAATTGCTTTCGACACTGTAAAATTCGTTCAGCTAGTGACGTTGCAAGAAATTTGGATGAATGCACTTTTGATGAAGAAACTCAAGACCTCGAGACTATGATCAATCAATGTGGCTATCGTAATAAGATGGATATCGACAATCTAATGAACTACCCAGGTGAAAATGAAGCATGTTCGGAGGTTCAGAGTTTAGAAGATATTGTGGGTACTATCATTGAGAACAATGCAGAGGATGACGACGAAGATGATACGATGTCTTTGGAGCCTGTTACGTGAAAAGAAGTACTTATGGCGTCGAACATTCTTCACAACTTTATGATACAATACAAAAATACAACACCTGAGTTATTGAATGCAATAAGAAAAGTTAGAGATGAGCTCCAAATAGACTTGAACTTTAAAGGAAAACATACAACTATTGAATCATATTTCAATAGAGTGTAATATATTTTTTCAGTTTCTATGAATTATTAATTTATGATTTTCTTGGGATCGAAAATTATAAAGTGATCTCCCGAAAAATTATTATCTTATTATTTTATCGAGTTTTTCAATTTTTTACATTGGCCCAAATCGGGACCAGACAAATTTATTATTTTAGAGAGTTTATTAATTTACCGAGTATTAATTTAAAGAATTTCTATTGTAGTTATTGGTTTACTTCAATAAATTTTTGGTATAGTTGATTTTATTTGTTTCGGTAAAAAGATGACATGCAATAATTTATTTAATGAGTTTCATAATTATAAATGTTATTATTTATGGTCTAATATTTATAATATTAATATTTTTGGTTCAATATTTACAATATTCTTTCTCTTGTTAGATTTTGTTTTGGGGTCTACTGCAAAATATTAATAAGAAGATGAAAACGATACGATGAAAGTTGAATAAAATAAATTCTAAAGCGTGTGTTTAGACTAAGTTTTAGTTTCGATTTGTCTTCACCATTAGCAATTGAACATCAATGAGATGCTTCAAGCATTTTCGATTGGCCTCATTCGAGGGCACGCCACCCCCAAGTTAACCCAGGTTATTGATGAAGATAATATGCCATTTCTATTAATACAAATCTTATTTAGTGTGGTCCCCGTCTTTATACAAAGACACCCCGTTCCCCATAAGAAAGTGACTCTTAGGACAATACTTAGTAAAAAATTGAGCACATCTAACCTCAAGTCTGTCCCAGCAACGCAAACAGCAAAGTCGACTTCAAGGTGGATAGGTGTAGCCAGAAAGAACCGATCCTCAAAAAGTTGCAACTAAGAAAGAGTGCCAAAGTCCCGAATGGCCAGCGCCAGAGAAATTAATCCTGTACTCCATGACCAAGTCGCAAAACCATAATGACATAGAAAGAGATGAAATAAAGGGGTCACATAAGGCTTTCACTTCAAGTATTCACTTCAATGTTGGTAGATTTTCACATATCCCAACTTGTTGGATGAAGTTGAGAAGGAACCATTATTAGATGATTAAGAACTTCTATCTCAAAGGTTGTAAAAGGAATACGAAGACCAAGAACTGAGAAGACACATTCATAAAAGGGGTGACACCATCTCCATACCCACTACATATCCTTTCGTCCTCGTTTGTATTCAAGACACCCTAGTGAGAAGGTGGGCGAACTTCAAGAAAGACCCCATCAAGATTGCACTCTTTAGCGAAAATAGAAACGATAGAGGAGTAAACATGTCCCACCCACGAAGATTGTGTATCCTTCTGAGACTTGTGAGCACTCTTCTATTATTTTTACCCATAGTGCAATAACTTTTCAGATGTAAGGAAGCAAAATGTCAAAGAAGAAGATAACTGTTAAACCGAGGAAATAACTCAAGGAAAACAACGTTGAATCATCGAAAAATATACTCTAGCATGTGAAAATAAGTAGACTCTATCAAACGTGTCAAATTACTCGCACACAACACTCAAGTGTTTATGTTCCCAAGATTCGTAATGATGATACGTCTAAAAAATATGTTTGAAGTATGAGGCATAATTGCACAAATATCCAAGAATATGGAATGGCTATTTTTGCTCTTCCAAGCGTAAAGGCACGAGTGGTTGGCATCCGAGGATGAAATACCAAACCCTTGTCTTGCTACGCATAGACACAAGCTTCGAGGGAAACAATTATGAGCCGACCATAACGACCCCAACCAACCATAGTGAAGGGATTACAATATTTCCATAATCTTCTCAACAGACAAGGACTCTCTTGTTGATGATCCTATGGATCTAAACTACGAGTGCAACCAACAACTATCCGCAATTCATTACTGACTAATAACAAGTTTGTTATTCATTATTTATTACATATAAAGAAGACACCAATTCAAATAACAAGTTTAAAATACAAGTTCAATTCACTCTTCTTCTTAACATATTGACTTAAGTGTTGAATTGTTAACCTTACAAGTCAATTTCCGCCGTACGAAAAGTTAAAATTCACACCACTTTCGATTTTCACTCTACTTTTTATTTCAGAACAAAAACAAAAAGATTTTAAAAAAAATACGACTCCCTTTTTACTTATATGTTACATTATTATATTTATTTGCATGTCATTACAAAATAATTATTTTTATTCACATGTTATTTTAAAAGTTTTTATTAAGATAAAAGAAATATTTTCAACATCTCATCTAAATGTTTTTATATTGTCGCTTTCAAAAGTCAATGTTAATTTTATATTTGTTAATAATAATTTTAATGATTTATTTTAAAAAAAGAAATAAAATAAAATAACACCTTTAGTTATCTATTATTCTATGGTAAAAGACATAAGATGCACAAAATGATTCTTTTACTTAGTAGCTCCCTCTTTTATTATACTATACGTCATTTTGAAAGAGAATAAAATGATATTAATCATAATTTTTTTATAATATAAAAAATATTTATATTTATATATTCTTTAATATCTATTTTTTATTTTGTACATCATTAATTAAAATATTTTTTATTTTTTATTTCTCATACAAAATTAATTATATTACATAGTATGTGAAAATATTAAAGT